TAGGTTGCCAGAGATAAGAGGGCATATTGGAAATTCGCGTCAATTAAACGTGGTATACTTTGTTCTCTAAATCACTCAGATGTTGACACGTTTTGCTTTTTATTTATATAATTACATTACCGTTCACGCGAAGGACTGCTTCCCTGAGTGCCGTGTAACTTGGATGCTGAAGCCCCCGAATAAACGTATATAACTAATTATCTAACATAACTATTTAGAGCTTTTCGGAATGACTGAAGTCGGATCAGTCATAGGCGCTCGCCTGAAAAGAATCAGGATAGCAACACGAAGAGGATGTTCTTCTTGGAAAAGCCTCTAGCAAAACACACAGATCAGGTATATATCATATTTGTTTTTGGCTGTTGGCGATTTATTGGCGACCCATAATCCGTTCTACTTGTAAGGATACCATAGAGATGTCGCGTGCAAACCGAATAATATTCTAGGCGTTACGTACCCACCACATAGAAACAAATAACACCACTCAAAAATTATATGTGATGTGCTTTTATTAAAAGCATATAAAACAATGTAGTTTATCAAGTGAATTTACAAGATGATAGTGTGGAAGTGTGCTATATGAGTGCAGACAAAGTTACCATGAAGCAGTGTTTTATGTTAATTCCAAACCAACAACATCGTTAGGAGACGCAGTGATTTGTCGATCTTTTATACAGATTGGATTCGCATGAAATATTTCAAGCTACCGTGTGTTACGTCATTTTATATAGCCACGCACGATATTACAAATCAAATTTTTCGCCGAAAATTGGCGGCCTTGTTTTCACTTCTAGACGCGCAAGGACGGGTCAAGCAAAACAATAATAGAAACGCAATTAACTCATCCGAGACGATACAAGATGCGTGGCGTGGGATTGTTGGTCTCGTCGTCGGATTTACTTGATGTTTTGACTGTTACACTGGAAATAATTCTGTATGAAAATCGGACTCGAAACGTAAAATAAGTGTGATCCTGCCTGCTCAATTCTCACAGTTTTGCTGCTCGCACATCAAACAGCTACTGTCGAGTCAACCCTACGCAACAAAGAATTTCCCGAGATACAAGTAAACTTAGAGCTTGTTTTTACCAAATACGTGGCACAGTCCTAACTATGCCATTGCATGTATCCTGTGCACATACTACAATAAAAAAAATCAATCATAACCTGGCTGTTATTTAGCATCTTTCTGACGTTAGTGTGCAATCGATACGTTATCTGTAGTCATTGTCAATACACAGGATATGTGCACAGGATTTCCACAGCGACCTCAATTTGGAAGAACGCCTGTGTGGCGACATATAGCGTTAAATTTAGAAAATGTGTCAATTGAAAGTCTATATTCGCGAATTGACTATTTTTCTAGAGCCAGAAACTAAATATTGCACCAACTACAGAAATTGCCCTTACAAGACAACAGATCGATTCTTCTACGTTGTACATGTTCTTCATATTGCTTTTCTATAACAAATTATTAGTTTTAGATTTGGATCTTGCTATGGCTAATTGAATACCGCGACTACTTCGGTTAAATAAAAGCACATACTCACAGCTAATATTTAAAATATGACATATCATGACACGCATATAGGAATAATCCCGTTAGGTGCAATAACATATACGATATACAGATTCATATAGTGCTGACCCTTGAACCTTGGCCCAAGGTGAGTAATGCGTAGTAAAAATATTCTATAATGGTATATACCTTCGACCTCCAGTTCTTAAAATTACACGCTTGTATAGAACATTGTCACCTTGAAACTGGTGATTAAATTTCGTGTCACATTTGTATGCCCATAATATTAAGTAACTTGTCATGTCTTCATCAACAAAAGTTTGTACAAAAATATTAGCACGAAATAATTATTTACAACCAATCTGAATAAATCCCATTAGAGCTTACGCACTACGGAATTACTCACGTTAAAAAAACTATTTAAAAAGTACACTCTGGTACATCATTTCTGTTTCCAATCTCCATCAGCAAGGTAGTTATAATAACAATAGCATAGTAAGGAATGTAACAAAAATATTTAACATGTTTTACTTTCTATTCCGCGAGTTGTCACCTTTGAAGAATTCTGTAGTTTTAAAGACACTAATTCTTCCGTAGCCGTTCACACCTCTTCAGTATAAAATATCACAAAGCTGGGTATTCAACGTCAGACAAAAGTTAGAATAATGTTTTCTTTTCTACTCGTGCAGAAACTAGCCACCATCTTCTATCATCTACTATTGGTGTTTAGAAAGCTATATCACAAGTACACATCGAGAGTTATAGAAATTAGCGTAAAGTAAAATATAAACATCCTGATACAATGATACAAGTACAACGTCTTAGCAGTAGAATTTAGCAATAGCAGGACTATTCGCATACTATTAGCCGCGACAACGAGATTTAACGAAAGCAGGGTCCTTTGACTGTGTCTGTCTGTGTCTGTTTGTGTGTGTGTGTGGGGGGGGGTAACAAGGGTTAGGGATAGGGTAAGCCTAGTATTGCCATGACTAAAATTTGACCGAGAGCTAGGCTTAAGTGCAGTATTGACGTTAGTATTACGAACTAGAATGCATTCGTTATTTGCAATCAAAAGTTTCTATTTGCTAATGTGCTGTTCTTTCACTACAACATGTCGCCAGATTTATTCTCAACTCACACCTTAACTTCTCCGAGTCCAACTTTAGCGCAATCTACACAATAAATGACACTCTACGACTTTCTGCACAGCAGTAGGCACGAGAAGACGAGTGAAAATTAACTGCCCCGCACTCGCAGGTCATGAAAATTTCCGGAAACATTTTATCAGCGTGACAGAGAACAGACCACTATTAAATTCTCCATAGGATCCTATACTTAAGAATTGAATTTCAGGAGCTGAAAAATAGTATTTCGACCGTTTTCGGCCGAGTGGCAATATTAAAGCTAGGTAGCCATGTACTTCAGCTGTGCACCATGAGAGTTATGACATATGTTGTCCAGCGTTTTAAAAAAATATCGCGAATTTACTAACCGACACCACATTTGTGCCTAAAAAACAGTCGCGCATTCGAATGGGGGCCATACATTAAAAGAATGCGTTTTAAATTACCAGTAACCATCCACCCATCTCCATGTGCATGTCATTGCCACACTGCCACACACAATAGCCAGCCTACATAATGCAACCACAAAACATCGCGTCAGCTTTAGTGCACGAGCTGCGGGCCCTCCGATTGGTCGGCCGATGACGCGTCACATCCTCTAACCTAACAGTAATAAGGGTAATGAACCGGTAGTGATTTAATAGTGGTCACGTGTCATATATATATATATATAGCATAGCATACAACTATTAAACGATATGTAAAGTGCCTATATATATATGTTTGCGCGTGCGTGCGTGCGTGCGTACGTACACGTGCGTGCGTGTGTGTGCGTGCGTGCGTGCGTGCGTGCGTGTGCGTGTGCGTGTGCGTGTGTGCTTTGATAGCTCGTATATCTTTGCTCGCTCTACTCGACTATATATTTTACCAGGGGTAGCACGCCAAAATGAGAAGCATATAAAACACGGTTTATTAAGAGATTTCCACATATTTGTATCACGTTCAATTGTTATAATTTTAGCTTATACAAAAATATTTATTACTAGATACATAGTCTATTAATATATGGTGTGTCTGTGTCGTTGCGTGCGTGTTGTCGTGGTGTAGCCTGTGTGTGTGTGTGTGTGGGTGTGTGTGTGGGTGTGTGTGTGTGTCTGTGTGGTGTGTGGTGTTGCATGACCGCCTATGAAATATTGATCAAATGTGTCTTACGAAGTGGTAATTCGGTAATCTTTGTGACAACCTTTCCGCCACCCTTTTCGCACTCACGTCCACTTATAATACGTGATATTTTGCCGTTGTGTCATTTTTCAGGCATATGAAAAGTCCGCGGTAAGCGCGCTTATTTACCTTTCTCTTCTTGTCTTCTCTCTATTATTATTTCTCCGTTATACATCGTAATGGATCACTATATAATGATCTTAATGATGACGCTTGAATACGGCATTGGCCGAAACAAAGTCTCTTAGACTACGTATTCGTTGAAATTTGTCTGAAATAGGAACGAAGCAGCCACCAGACATCCTATAGGAGGAAAGAAATGCTAAAAAAAAAAGAGATTAGAGAAGCTTGAATGGCGCACGAAGAGCTCGCGCGCTAATAGCAGAATCGCGCAGAAGACAGCCGAAAGGCAGTACAAGAGAATGGATCCAGGCATGCGATCTCGTAAAGCGAGAGGTTAGCGCGCGGACGCAGAAGCAGACAGAGAAGATAAAAGCAGACGGAGAGAGAGCAGAGACCGGGGACCGTGCCATGGAGACGACAGTCCTAACGCCCTGGGACCCGCTGATGACGCCTCGCCCTACTAAGCAGGTGATGAGAGAGATTAAAAGAGAAGAGAGAGAGAGAGAGAGAGAGATGAGACGAGAGAAGAGAGAGAGAACAGAAAGAGAAAGAAGATGGGCAAAAAACACACGTGTATGCGGCTAATATTATTGTGGATTATGATATAGGAAAGACAAAACGATGGGGGGGAGCGGGGTGCAAGGACGGTTTGTTAGCCACAGTCGCGTACCCACATGTTGATGTACCAGACATGTCGGTCACTGATTTTCTCGATCAACACTCTTGGTTTAGCCAGTCACAGGATGCGATAGCCCTGGTAAGTCCGAACTCTACTTGTCACATGCATTATGTACGTGCGTCTACATCCACATAAGTTGAGTTTCCCATGGCTTCACCATGTAAAATTTTCTGAAAACGCGATTTTTATAACAGCTTAATTTTATCATTATACGGGAATTTTGTCTTTGTATAAAACGATCTTATACGGCCCACAGTCTTGCGCAACAAAAAATGAGAGTAGAGCGATCGGATGGAACTATCATTCGATGGTTTCCCACCCCCGAATTATTGAGTTTTTACAACTTATATGATCTCTTTTCATAGATCAATTAAACAAGCGTTCCCTTTTCTGGTTATAACTTGTTAAGTGCTGTACCATCACCTCGATCAATCTATTATCCTCGCTCACCTGGCTCACGCGCTCTTATTGCCACCACCCTCACGGCCCAGTTTCAGTTTCCGTCATTCATCCTGCTCACTTCTATACTTATTCGTCACTTATTTTCTCTTAATTTTGCAGAATTACTGGTTATTCCCTTGTTATGAACCACGTTCTGCGTGCATGCCACTGATTATTGCATTATGCCCCAATATTTTCAGATGGGGCGCAGTGTTGGACCGCCTGATGCTAGCAAGGAGTGGAGGTTGTCGTACAGAGAGCTGCGGGAGTCCGTAAGGAGAGTAGCTAGCGGTCTGGCCCGGCGCGGCCTCAGGAAAGGTGACGTCGTGTTGGCGTACAGTACCAACTGTCCTGAATACGTGATCCTCGTGCTAGCAGTTTACTCGCTAGGGGGCGTCATGACCCACGCGTTGGGAGGATGTCCTGCAGGTGAGTGAGTTATTGTTCATGTATGCTATACGTCTGATGGTTGCATCGATTATGTTCACATGCCATTGTTGGTGCGTGTAATGCAATGAATGAAGTTATATATTATGTCTATAAATACATGCGGAAGTTTTAAAGAGGTTTCCTTTATTACCTAAAGTAAAGTAGAGGGGCGCGTATGCGCGTGTGCGCGTTCTTTGTCTCTTTATGCGATGTGTCTACACTGTATGAGTTATTAAAGGTTATACGTTTACCGCACAAGTTTTAGATTTGGATATACTTCATTATTTCTACATGAACACGCATTTCAACGTTAAATTTTGGCGCCGTCGACAGTCAAAAAAACCTGGGTATTCCTTTGCGGAGGCAACGTAAGGTACTACCTACTACTATATCGATCTACGGACCATAAGCAAGGAAGATGGAGATGGAAGAGCGACGGAGAGCGATCGACAGAGCTGGAGAATGGCGGTGAGCGAGACGGGAGGAACAGAGCGAGACGCGGGAGAGAGAACGGTGGATATGCACACGGCGTGTGAACTATGTGAGTACGTCAACGTGAAGAAAGGAACGGCCGGTGTTGCATCCATGATACTGCGAGGGAAAGTCGAGTCTCGACCTATGTGAGAGAGAGAGAAAGAGGAGAGCAGAACAGAGAAGGCAAGGCTGACAGAGCAGAGACAGACGACGTGAAAGTGTGACATTGTCAGGAATGTGTATTTTTATCTGTTTTGTTCGTTGTTTTATGTACGCAGTATTTTGTTCATGATATCTGCTTGTGACCGTTTTTGTGTGTGTGGAAAATCTTTTGCGTGAATGTTGTTTAGAAATTTGTGATCGTTTTCTTGAATTTGTGCTAACCAGTAACGGTACGTTTACACTATATATTGTCGGACTGCTAAAACACATTCTTCAATTAGGGTGTGATATAGGCCTAAAACATTTCATCAAAAATATGAAATCAGTTTTGCGTATTTTTGTTGGCTGTATGATGTGTGGAAGTGACAAAGGTTGTCAGGTCCACTTCGGTGCTGTAATAATGGATTATTGTAGTAATGGATTATGGTAATAATCGGTGCTGCACATGTTTTAATAATGGTTTAATGATTTAAATGGGTTAATGTTTAATAATGGTTGAAATGAGGATTATGAATACGATATATAATGGAGCACATGGCTAGGAACGTGGTTTCGGTAATACATGTCGGTACACGCATACGCCACGTACGTTACAGCACAAAAAGACGCAAGAGTGAGAGTAATTGTAGCGATATCAAAATGTTCACTGCCAAATGTGTTGAGTTTCTGACTTGTATTGTGATCGAACTTTATCGTTACTTGTTTTCTACGCTTCATATGTGTTTTCCTATTGTATTTTAATTGTTGTTATATTTGTGTATTGATTGTGGGTTATTTAATCGGACAGAAAGACGTTTCTCTTGTTGGGTAATTTTTTTGGAATTGTTTAGGTTAAGGTTAAAGTGTAGATCAGCGAGGACGCTGAATCGATTACAGGGTAGTCATCGTTTTGGGGAAAAGGGAGATAATGTAACATGTGTTTTGCACGTGTTACATGAATTAGTCAGTAGAGCTAGACTAGTAGTTGTTTTAGTCATAGTCTAGCTAGACAGAGCGTCGCTTGTGGCGGCTACATTGATGTGTTAGGGAGAATTGTAAACGTGGTTAGGTTAGGCAGATTAGAGGGTCATTGTGAAATGGGGGTAGGACGCGGTCTCGGAGAACGGGTACATGTGCGTGCAGGATGTTTGTAAGAGTTTTGGGGGAATATATATGACAGCAATGTAAGAGCCGAGAGGCTGGTTCTGGTCGGGGAAGTAGGCACACGCGCGTGTGCGCGTGTGCGCGTATGCGCGTGTGCGCGTGTGCGCGTGTGCGCGTATGCGCGTATGCGCGTGTGCGCGTATGCGCGTGTGCGCGTGTGCGCGTATGCGCGTGTGCGCGTTCTTTGTCTCTTTATGCGATGTGTCTACGCTGTATGAGTTATTAAAGGTTATACGTTTACCACACAAGTTTTGGATTTGGATCTACTTCATCATTTCTACATGAACACGCATTTCAACGTTACACGATGACGATGGCTTCATCTACTTCATCGATACACTAAAGGATATCATCCGAATCGCACCTGATAAAACAACCACAATTCAGGTATGAATTCGAAACTGAGGAGCGGATTAGCAGTGGTGGTAACAATGGAAGCAGGCACACTGAGGCTTTCTATGCCGAGTGTTCAAAGGTTTAAACCAAAGTGTCACACTTGATTCCCGTAATAGATACATCTTCTCATGAATAGCATGCACGTCTGAATGACACTCATGAATGACACACACAGAATCGCGGTATGTGTGCAGGTTTCGCCATCAGAAATGGAAGACATCTTCATGAGTCATCCGGGAGAAAAAGACTTTGCTGTCACCGGCATTCCAGATCCAGATAATGAAGGATACGAACTAATCCGCGCTTTCGGCGTCCGGAAAACAGACACATTATCTGCTGAAGATCTCATGGAGTTTGTGCAAGGTACTTATTCCCTCTTCCACGTGTGTACGTCGTCAAGCGTTGTGGCGTTCGTGCGCTCTCATGTGCTTGCGGCATGAACATTTCATGATTTCCTATCTTGCTGTAATATGCTTACGTCAAACCCACGCTAATTTCTACCGCTCTTTCTATTCAGTTCCTCTGCCTCGATCCCTCTCATGTGCTGACATCGCATTACGCACCACGACACGCACACGGCAATTGCACGCACAACGCACTCACGCACACTGCACAACGTCACAACCCACGCACACGCAACACGCACACGCACAATCGCACACGCGAGCGCCGGCACGCAACAGCACACGAACACCGCACAGCCACAACCACACGCACACGCACACGCACAACGTACATGCACACACCAACACACACCACCACACGCCAGCATACACACACACAGCTACGTACACACGCACTGCTAACGCCACTCGCGTACACATACGTACACTTTTATCTCTAAATCGACAGACGGAAACAGCAGGGATGAACAAATGTCCTCTCCCGACCACCGCGCCTCCTCCGAAGCAGCATATTCTACAAAGCTAAGCTACAGCTATGAAGCAGAAACCACGATGCGCATTTCTATATTATACTAGTATATGTTATGTGTTCGCGTCGCCGTATGTATATGCATTGCACCGCACAGAGCGGCGGGGAGAGAGAGGATGAAGAAACCATGATATTGGCAAAGGGCGAACGTGCCCTATCGCAGCGAATAGCTTCATGAGCGCGAAACTTGAAGCGAGCTTTTCGGTGCAGTATGCAGGGGCTCCGGCATTAAAGAGAAGGAAAAGCGGAAACTCATCCCAATTAAATACGAAAAGGTGCGAGGCTTGTTTTTATAACTCTTTATTCCGGCTTTAACAGAATAAACAGGTAACATGAGTAGCACGATCAACATATACATGTATCCTACAATCTCAGAACAAATAGGAACAATAGGGATCATATTACATGACTATAAACATACATATATACTTCGAAATTCTCCAGACTCATACACTATTTTGTGGTATTGTCCAAAAGCGTGGAATAAAGAGGCCCACTGGCCGTAAAAGTCCATGTTTTGTTTGTTTGTCGAACTAATTTTTCGTTAAATCATAATGTGTTCTGATTTGCCTTACTCGCACGCAAATGATATGGCTAGAAATTGTCAACTTACCTTTGTCAAATCTAAGATAAGCATTGCTATTTGTATACTCAAATTGACAACTATGATGTCAGACTTCCAAAACACCGAGGCATAAGTCGGTGTTTGTCCACCTCTGTATTGTGTAAACCCATCTTCTGACCAAACCAAGCCATGCAAGTTCTAGCCGAAACACTCAGTCTACACAAATAACACTACTGTAAATACTGGAACAATGGATTCACCCTGCACTTTAACAAAAGTGAACCATTAGATCATCATCTACAACTTAGTATGATAAATAGAATGATTTGTAGTAAGATCTATCCAAGGTGCGGAGTTTGCTCGTACGTCTGTCACTCTCTGCCTCTCCGTCCGCCCCCTCTTCCTTCGTCCTCTCTCTCCCACCCCTCTCTATCTCTAATTTTCGACGCGGATCTTCCCTCTCGACATGATCTCTCTTCTCTTCGAATCCTCTTCTCGCTCTTTCCCTCTCTCCGTCACTCCACATCCCCATCATCTCTCCTCTCTCCTCACCTCTCTACACCTCTTATTCTCCCTCATCTCTCTCTCTCTCATCTCTCCCGCTCGCCCTGCCACCCCTCCCTCTCTCCTTTCTTTCTTCTCATTCACACCATATCACTCGTTCGTCCGTCTAACTCTTACTCTCCTGTATTGTCTACTCTCCCATGGTTTATGGTGTATTGTTCTGTCCCTCCCCCATTCTCTCTCTCTCTTCTATAATATATATATAGTGATGATGTGTCGCTCGTTTCTCCTCCCTCCCCTTCTTCGCCCCTTCTGCTTGCTGAGCTATCTTTTTCTTACTTATGGTGTTGCTCTCCAGTCTCCGCCGTCCGCAGGCCTCTCTCGCGTCTCTCTTTTGTGCTGCTCTCTCTCTTCTCTGGTTATACGCGCGCTCATCTCTCTCTTTCTCTCTCTAATACCGATCTCGCTAGTGTCTGCTTCTCTCAACTCTTATCTCCTCTCTCCTCTTTAATATATGCTTCTCCCTCCTTAAATAGCTGCTACTGGGCTCGTAGTATCGTCATGACTCATATACAAGCTGTCTTGTTGATGAACTGCGTCAGTACGGGTGGATTTATATGTCGCCAAATTCTTATGAGGTTCAGATTCGTCGTGCACTATAGGATAAGTGCTGCAGCCATACGCTCCGGTGCTTCAATAGATACATCTATTCAGCATCTGTCATTTCACGTGACTCTGCAGCCCGATAAAGCTCATTCCTATCGCGCCGATCGGAGTGCCTCGTGACGCGGTGGGCCGGGCTGCGTCACCGTGAGCCGGCGCGAAGAGTGCTTCGCGAGCTTTCTTGACAGAAAGCAGCGTCTGCATTGCACTACGTCATAACAAGGATCAGACATGAGATGATTCTGCTTATGGACAGGTTGTGAGCGATAATCGCGAGTGCCCCGCTCGGTTATGCTTTCTTAACACGCATGATCGCGTGCCGTGTACGCCGCCGGCGGATGTGGGAGGTTTGTGTAATGTGTGCGCGCAGTGCGTTCGGCTGTTGCGTAACGTACTGCGTGCGTGCCTGCCAGTGTGCCGTGTCCTACATTGCGTTCGCGAGCAGAGCAGTGATTAATGTGCCCGGGGCGTGCCGCCCGTGGCGGGTAGGTGTAACGTGCGTGGGCGTCTTGCCGTGCGTCTCGTGAGCGAGTGCGTGCGTGTCGTGGCCGTGCGTTCGGCCGTAGCGGTGCGTGCAAGCCGTGGCCGAAAGTGCGTCCACGTCCGGCGCGCAGGACGCCGGGACGGGCCGGTACGACAAAATGCGTGAATTGCGTGCGTGCGCCGAGCAGAGGTCAAGTGAGCGTGCGTGCGTGCGTGAGACGTGACAAACTCATACGGTCGCCTAGTCATTTCACCACACTGGCGACATAGATCAAAGATGTTTCGAAAAAAAATGCGAAATTTAATAAGCCTAAGCGTGTATAAGAAACACGTTTCCGCGGCGTGCTACGCTTGCAAAAATAATATTTCTTGTCGTCTCGCTCGAAAAAAATGGACAACAAAGCGATCATTTATACATTTTGTTTTATAACCTCTTCTAGAGC